CTTGGTATGCAAGATACACCAATTGATCAAACACTGTACGGGCCCAGCAGCCTGCCCCTGTATGTGCCGTCAGCCTCAGGCCCACTGCTCTGTCATTTTCACCCCGAACCTGTGAAGGGGATATTACTGGGAACTGACCACCCATTTTACAAGAACACAAGGGGTCTGCACAGGTCTGGCTCCAAAGCCAACACCTGTTTATATGAGCGTTTCCAAATGGTTCTATAAACTCCCTTCTTTTGTCTGGTTTGTATTTGAGATTTGAGGGGTGGTTTTACTTGAAAGAAGGGATTCCATCACCGAAAAAGCAGGCAAAACTCAGAAGCACAGGTACTTTGGTGTGCTGTCTGCTCATTCGCATGGTCTGTGCAGGGCACCTGTCCACTTTCCTTCCCTTAGCCACAGAGCACGCTGGGGTGTTGTCACCTTCATAGATTTAGTGCTCTATCTGATTAGCAAATGTCTCCTTGGTGAAGGTGTGAGGTGGAGGCTGGGGACAGCCCCCCACCCCCACCCCACGAACGTGAGCCCAGGAGGAGATTGTGTGGTACCGATTTTGTAGGTGAGAATTTTATCAATGGTCCTGACCAAAGAGCAACATACCTTCTCTCCTTCTGTCAGGAAAACCTGAGGCCCCGTGCAGGCCAAGGGGAGAAGGCTGGTGCTCCCCACGGGGTGCTCAAGGCTCAGTCCAAGGGTGCAGAGAAAAGACCTCCGGGGGAAGCATGACGTTGAAGCTGGATTGCCCAGTGGGTAGGGTGGGCTGCCAGAGACAAGGAAATGAGGAGAATGGAAAGCCATGAACTTGGAGATGTGGAGGGACCACGTCCCACAGGATCTGTGGACTGCGAGATCAAGGATTGTATCCTGTCAACCAGCATCCCTGCATTTGAGCCATTATTTATTTCTGTGCCAGGTCCTGTTTTGGCATCATGGGTAATGTAGCAAACAAGACAAAAGGTGCCAACCTCACGGAGCTCACATTTCTAGTGGGGAAGTTTGGTTATTTATTACAGATATAATGCAGCTCCATGCAGCAACACATGGAAGGATCTCAGGTATGTGGAGGGTGGGTCACAGGATGTGCTGAAGGCAGAATTCAGTGCTAAGGACACAAGACAAGTTTCCGGGAAAGGTTTGGCCTTTCTTTATCTTCTAGGTCTGGGATCAGTAAACCACTGACCCCACCACCATTGTTTGTACATCCATAAGCTAGGAATGGTTTTTAGGTTTTAAACAACTGAAAAATTGGAAGCAGTAGAATATTTAATAGCACGTGAATAGCATATGAAATCAACATTCAGTGTCCGTGAGTAAAGTTTGGCATGAGCGCCGCCATACTCAGTCACAGACATACCCCCTGGGCTGCCTTGTGTTTCAGAGGCACAGTTGAGTATTTGTAACAGACACTGTTTGGCCCACCAAATGGAAAATATTTACTACCTGGACCTTGACAGAAGAAGTTTGCCAGCCCTGCTCTTAAGTCCTCCTTGGACTCTGCAGTGTCTCCTCCAAATCTGGCCAGACGACCTCTCCCTCCTGGGGAGGCGGCAGAGGGAGGGGGCAGAAGAGAAACTGTGTTACACCTGCTCTTCCCACAGGCCTGGATGCGGCTCCTCAGCCTGTGGGGCAGGCTCAGCCTGGCCTGCAGCTCTGATCGGGCTCGGTTCTGTGGAAGCCCCTGGGTTAACTGAATTCCTGTCCTGGTACGTGGTCCTGTAAGAGGGCGACCAGACCTGCCTCCTGTGTGAGCCTAACTCAGTACTTGTTGGTGCATTGAGACAATAGAATTCTGCACCTTTATTCAAAGCAGGGATACCAAGCTCCATTGATTGACAAGGAAGTATTTCTACAACTTACTGAGTAAAGCACAAAAGCAGCAATAAAAAAATTCAGCTGCAGTGCTATAATGCGCCATACCCCATTTACATCAAATTGTATGTATGTACTTTTAATACATATCTGGATGCTGACTCCCCAGAAAGTTAACAATGCTTATCTCTGGATGCTGGAATTTTGGGTGATTTTAAAAACTTCATATTTTTTTGTACTGCTTGGGTTTCTTTTTTAAAACAATTAACATGAGTCATCTTAATCAGCAAAGAAAACCCAGCTGTTTTACTTTCAAAGGATAAATAAGAATGGTTGCATCCACATGTGGGTGGTAGAATTATTTATGTGGCTCGGTAACCATTAGAGATACAGGCATCCCCACACAGCTCACCACCAACTGGAACAGGGGAGCGAAGGCCTCAGAATTAGAGGGGTTGGTAAGAATATGGTCAGATGTGAGGAAACATGCAGAAGTCAGCACTTCTGACATGGTCATCGTTGCAAGGGACAGGAGCTTCCTATGTATAAATCTTGGTTTGTTATTGGCATTTGGAAAAATGGGGGTGTAGGTCTTTTCCTGACTTTCCCCCCTACTCTGTGCTGTCTCCAGAAACGAGAAGTTTTAAACTATTTTAAATGGTATGTTAGTGCCACCTAGCGTCCACACTGTCACCTGCCGCCCCCACCCCACTCCCACCCCGTGTGTCTGTGGAAGCCTCCCTACCGGCTCTGTTTGATGTCCCTGCTCTGGTGGCATTTGTGCAGCAGGCAGCGTGGTGCCAATGCCTCCGGGGTTCTTCGGGGCAGTGGGAGTGCCTCATTAATTTATTCCTTCCTCCCTGTCATAGTCACACAAAGCAGATCTCTCCGGCTGCAGCATGATTTGGCAGTTGAAGAGCGAAAGGATGCCTCCCTGTCAAAACCAATCTCCTCTCTTCTCCAGCAGCCTCAGCAGCCAGCTCTTTAGAGCAGGGAAGTGTCCTGCTTGCCAGAGCGGCCTGGGACTTGGGGCTTTTGTGGAGGCTGGCCATGGTGGGCTCCTGGGAGATGCCACAGCCATGCCATGGTCCCCTGGCTCACCTCCTCCAGTGTGGCTCGGCTCCTCCGCTCGCTCTAACCGTACACTCCAGAACCCACTGTCCTCCTGCCCTCCTCTCCCTGGTCTACAAGCAGCTGGCCATCTGCTGCACCTCCTCCCAGGCCCCCCTCCTCCACTCCTGGACCCTCCAGGTTCTGTGCTCAGCTGCTGCTCAAGGAATCTGTAAAGTACAAACCTGCTGTGTCTTCCTCTGTTCAGGTTTTCCAGTGGCTTCTGAGTGCTCTTGGGATAAAGACCAGAGTTTTCAGCTAAGCCTATGCGACCTCCCACTCAGCTACATCCAGCACTGTTTCTTCCCCGCTCTTTCTCTGTGCCTTGATCCAGCCCTTGGGCTTCCTTTCAGCCCCTAGGCCTCCCTCCTGTGGTCCTTCGGCCTGCCCTACTCTCTTCCCCAGTCTGCCACCCAGTCAATCTCCTCAGCTCTCAGCGTTCAGGTGTATCTTTCTCAAGTCTTCCCCGGGCCTCATAGCCTGGGTCAAATCGTCCTATACTGTGCTTGGACAATCCCGAGTACCTCTCCTCCCCTCCATCCATTTCATCCAGACCAGTAATGTTAGCTCCACGCGTGGAATCCTTTGGTGAATCCCCATCCCCCCATTTAGACCAGTGGCTCTCAGCTGGGGACAATTGGTATCCCCTAGGGACATTTGGCATTACTGCGGACATTATTGGTGGTTATAATTTGGGGAGGGGGGTGGTGCTAGTGGCATCTAGTTGGCGAAGGGTAGGGATGCTGCTAAACACCCAACAACGCACAGGACAGCCTCCCCAAGAGCTAAGAGTAGTTTGACCCAAGAAGTCAGTAGTACACAGGTTGAGAAATCTAGCCCTAGACTCTGAGCCCAGTGGAAGCACGAACCCGAGCCACTGTGAAAAAGCATGTTTGGAAGCATGAAGTGTTGGAACTAAAGGCTGATTTGATATTCTCAGCCTCTTCATAGATAGACGTAGAACCACCATGTCCCTTCGAGCCTGCCGGCCACAAGAAATAAAGGGGCGGGGGGGCGGTGAGCCTGACTTTTCCCACATCAGGGTAGTTGTTCCGTGAGGTCCTGCTGGGTCAGAGAAAGTCATCCCTTTGTCTGTGTGTGCCTTTGCTTTAAACTTATTTAGCATCTCATTTTAAATTGTATGTCTTTATACTGTTAACTCTTTACAGTAGAATTCAATCTACAGTTTTATTTCATTGGTAATAGCCCACAGGTCCAATAGCCTGGCTTCTAGAAAAAAGTCATCAAGGAAAAAAGGCCAGATGACTATACTAGATTAAAAGAGCTGAAGTCTTAGAATACCGAAATAAGGGCAACTCTGATAAGGGGAAAATGGCTATAAACTTTCAGAGACAATCGGGGAAATTTGAATATGGACTGTGTGTCAGATAGCATTTTTGAAATGTTTATTTCCTTAGGTATGATCATGGTATTAGGGTTTTTGTCTTAGCTCAGCTTGCTCTAACAAACTACCATAGGCTTATAAACAACAGAAATTTATTTCGTACAGGCCTGGAGGCTGGAAAGTCCGTGGCAGGCTCACCTGTGAGAGCCCACATCCTGGTCCTTGCGTGACCTCACATGGCAAAGGGGCAGAGAGCTCTCTGGGGTCTCTTAAAAAGGACACTAATCCCATTCATGAGGGCTCCACCCTCATGACCTAATCTCCTCCCGAAGATCCCACCTCCTAATAACAAGACATTTTGGGATTAGGTTTTAACATATGAATTTGAGGGGACAATACATCCAGTCTCTTGCGATCATGTGGTAGCATGTCCTTATTCTTAGGAGGTGCAGGATGGAGTACTAAAAAGTGAAGTGTCAGGATGTCTGCAACTTGCTTGTGATAATTGAGCAGGAAAACAGTGGGGGCGGGGGTGTGATTGTGTGTACAGAAAGGGGAAAGGGAGAGAGGTGGCAAAAGTGCTGACGGTAGGCAGATTCAGACGAAGGCGGTGTGAGTGTTGTGTGTACCCACTAGTGTGTCATGTTTCGAGGTTGGGCTCTGAGAACTCCGGGCAGCCAGGGGACGGTGTGTTGTGCCAGGAGCCCCCTGAGCTTGCGGTTTGTGTCTTTAGTCTGCAGCTCTCCGCCCATCCACATGAAGGTGCAGCCTCTGAACCAGACGGCGCTGCAGGTGTCCTGGAGCCAGCCGGAGACCATCTACCACCCGCCCATCATGAACTACATGATCTCCTACAGCTGGACCAAGAACGAAGATGAGAAGGAACGGACATTTACAAAGGACAGCGACAAAGACTTGGTAAAAGTGGGGGTGCCTGCTGCCCTTGCAGTTAGGCAAGGGGCCCCCGTTGTGTCGCTCTGCCAGGCCCTGCAGGCCGGCTTTGTCTGTGTCACCCCAGCCTCCTGCTGCCACCGGCTCTGCTGCATGTGGAGGTTCCCAGTGTGAACTGTGCCCGGAGCCTGCCTGCGCCCCATCTGCCCTTACACTTACTGGTTAACACCGCCTGGAAAAGCTAGTTAATTTCTTCATAATCGGGCCCTTCAAAACTGACTCTTGTCTTTCATTATTAGAAAAACAGGGAGCTTCTGTTAAGCCCTTTTCATCTTAGAGGGTTATTGTAAATATTAAATGTTCTATGCCTGTGCAACACGTTCTGGCACGTGGTAAGCACTATGTAAGTACTAGCTCTTATTACTACAATCATTCCTCCTCTTCCTCTTCCCTCCTGCTACAGTCACTGCCACATGCAGCTGTTACTGTCCCCACACTCCCTTTGCCACATCTGATCTGCCTCACACATTCCTACCCGCTTTATCCCTGTGACCATGTCATTTCTAACCACTGTTCTCAGACACTAGGATATCTGACCTTACTTTGAGCTGTACGTGCCCAATTCCCCATCTCATCTTAAAATTTGAATAAATGTTCGGTGGCCAACACCCAACAAGGCACTTCAGAGCAGATGTTTTGGAAGCCATCCTCCTTTCCTGTAAAAGCAAACCCTCCAACAAGCATGAGACTTTAAGGCTGTGCCTGGAAACTCAAAGTGACACAATCGGGTTTGAAAGCCTTTGCCTTTATTGTTAATCAAAGGAAGGCTTTGAAATAATGAAATCTATAATTGTATATGCACATGAAAAACGCAGTCACACAGAGTGGGATTCTTAATGATGGTTATCACTTTTTTTCCTCCCAATACAGAGTCCCCAGGGCCCATTCAATCAGTTACAGAATAATACTTTCCATATTTCTTTAGATGAATATTCCTTTACTTCATTTCCATTTATATTTTCAATTTACCTACTAGACATTGTTATCTGGGTCACATAAGGGAATGACGAGCTTCATGAAATCAGAGAGGAATCTACTGAAAGTTACCCAAGGTTATGATATATTTTAACCTTTTTCTTGTCACTACTGGAAGTCCATAAGGGATTTCTCTCTTTCTGAAGTACAGATGTGTGCATTTATCAGCAGAAACTATGCAGGAGCTTAGGCGTTTTTTTTGTTGTTGTTGTTGTTTGTTTTTGGGGTTTTTTTTTTTTGTTCTAAGTGAAAAATAATTAAACATGCAAAGATGAATAGATACTGACTTGGAGTGAATTCTAATAAATCCCTGCATAGATGAAGCGAAGATTTTGCTCTGAACAGAAGATGGGGTCAGAGGTTTAGAGAATGAGGCATAAATTATTTTCAGAGAAAGAGAGCGATGTAGGGAAAAACATGCTTTGACAGCAAGTTCTTTTTTGTAAGAATTTCTAGGGATGGTTAGTTTCTTTTGGGACACACAAAATTAATTTTCTTAATTCCTCAGGAAGTCAAGCATGCCGACTTAATGGCTACAAAACTATTCTCTGACTGATGGTTACTCCAGCCCAGAAACCTGAAAGTAATATTTAATGTTGGTGTGGCATTTGCCAGTTTATATGCCTCTTCCACATCCTTACTGCAAACCTGTGGGGCAGATGGTATTGCTACCTTTTCCAAAAGAGATAAATGAGGCTTACAGTTAAATAATGTGACCCCAACCCACTGCTCTCGCCAGAAAGCCCTTTTCTAAGCTGCGGAAGCAGGTATGGCCACAATAACATTTTAATGCCCAGTCAGAGGTTTTCAATAGGTGCAGCAGGAAAACCCACTCAGCAGTTAAGTTCTTGGGGCTGCTTTTTATACTTGGCCCAGAACACAAGTTTCTGTGATGACATTTCATCCATTAGAGAAGTCTTTGAAATCAGTTGCGTTTGTTGTTTGTTTCTTTGCAAAGAAAGTGCCATCTGCTTTTTAGGTACTTTCTTTTCTATCATTTTTTAAAGACTCTTGGAATAAAGCTTTGAGAAATGGGGACCTGCATTAGGCGTGTGTCTCATTGGCAAACTTTTTCTACAAAAGGCCAAATAGTAAAGATTTTAGGGTTTATGCGACATAGGGTCATTATGGCAACAACTCAAACCTGCCATTGTAGAGTGAATGCTGCCCAAGATATAAAGGAATGGACATGGCTGTGTGCCAATAAAACTTTATTTACAAACAGATAGAGGGCCGGGTGTGGCCTGGTCCTGTGTTAGACCAGGGCTGCTCTTTTCTGCTGCATGATGTGGGCTGTATAGGAACAAGGTTTGTCTGGCTATGTTACCTAGCTTTCACGATAACCCTGTGAAGCAGCTCTTTGTCTCCCCATTTTACACAGGAAGGTAGCAGAGGCTAAAGACATTGAGCACATGGCTCAGAATTAACAGCTGCGAATGGGTGAAAAGGCTTTATCTCAGTTTGACCTCCAGCCAGGTGTCCTTCCTAGCGTCACGACCCATTTTATCCCATGGTTGCGATACAATGAGGCCTTTAAACTGCAAAGAAACAGACTTGCAGAGATCTTGTTGGATGTTTTAAACTCCGCATGGCTTTGGAAATCCAGTACACGTGCTAATTCTAGAGGCTGTCCAGGGTAGATAATTACAGTCTCTTAAGTTATAGTAACAATGAAAGATGTCCAAGATTCATGAGTATAAAGAGGGCCAAAGACATGGTTCAAGTCACAGTCAAGAATATGAGTCCAGACTGATTTTGTTACCTCTTAACCTGCACATTTCAGTGTTGAAACCAGATTCCCAGGCAAGGTTATTTCTGACCACCCTTTCCTTGCAAAGTTAGCCTTTGGTCAGTAGGGAAGCAAGGTGTCTGCCGGGCCGTGCCAGGCTCCAGAAACTGGAAAGTGATAGTGGACATTACTTTAGGTTTGGCTCGGAAGATGAGTTAGTGTACTGGCCTTCGAACCTGCTCACTGCTTTTCTTTCTTCACCTACAGAAAGCCACCATTAGCCATGTCTCACCTGACAGCCTTTATCTGTTCCGCGTCCAGGCCGTGTGTCGGAATGACATGCGCAGCGACTTCAGCCAGACAATGCTCTTTCAAGGTAAGGCCGGAGTGCGCCTGAGCCCCGCCCTCCTGATGCTGTCTCTTTTTCTCGCTCAGATGCTCCGACAGAAGGCCAGACAAGTCTGGCCTAAGAACAGGGGCTTTAAATTGTACCTGAGAAGCCTCAGGAATTTAGGCCTGTCTTTTAGATTAGGGGCTGTGTAGGGCAGAGGAGAAGAATGAAGTGGTGATTTTGATTGTTGTTGTTACTATTATTTTCCAACTCAGAGAACCAGGCGTTTGTCTAATGCTGTGTCAGATCACAGAATCTGCTCCTGGTCATGCTGTGGAATAGCCATTTAGTTCTTTGCATGATGCAAGAACTAAAGCCCAAAAAAGACACAGTTTACCCTTCCAACTGGCAAACCACACAGGCAGGCCCTGCTTGCGGGGGCCTTGAACTTCTTGAGAAATAGATATTTGTTTCTGCTGATTTGGACTGGCAGAAGGTTCTAGGGCCAGGACGAGGGTGAGGCAAGAGAGACATTCAAAATTTAAAGGGGTGAAAAAAACTTGGTAGTTAAAAGACATTCTACTTTAATAAGATTTCTTTTAAAGCAAAATCAATTTTAAAAATTCATGAACAACACAGAATCTACTCTGTCTTCCTTACCCTAACCCAGAGATTTTCAACCAGTGAACCACAAAAAGTTTTCAGGGGCACCGAACTCTTTTTCCCTTAGATTGTCAAAGTAAAAAAATGAAAACAGTCAACACAACAATAGCTTCCTGTGTAAATGAAACAAAATTATACCTATTTTTTGTCAGATCAGCAGAAAGTATGTGTTATCTGTGATGCAGAATTTTAGTAATTAGTTTATGTGTGCCATGAGATGAAAAAGGTTGAAATCACTGCCATACCCAACTCCAGTCCTAGTTCCAATAAAACTTTATTTACAAAACTGGGCCTCCAGCCTATAAGCCATAGTTGCGGACTTGCCCTTGTGACATGTGAGCTGAGTGAGCCCAGCCCTGAGGGACCAGGTCGTCAGCTTGCTGTGTCAGACCGAGGTCTCCCCAATGAGGTTCTCTTCTTCCTGGGTCCTCTGCTTCAGGGAAACCTTCCTACTAGTGGTTCTTTACCTCGTTGAGTCATGTATCTGATGAAGGCTTTTCCCTAGAGAATGCCACAACTGAGCGTGGGCCCTGTGAGGGCTGCAGGGCCAACAGCGACGAGTCAACTGAAGCCTGTGAGAAATGCACATTCATCGATCCCAGATCGATGGCCTCAGGCTCTCTGTGGCTGGGGCCCAGGAATCTCAGTTTTAACCAGATGGCCCAGGCAACTGGCATGTACATTAAAGACTGAGGACTCCTGGTTGAGAACTGGGGCCCTGAAATGAGGCCCCACGTTTGAGTCCTGCCTGCACTTAGTACTTCTGCAATTCTGAGAATGTGTATTAATTTTTTTTAAGCTTCAGTTTCACAGTCACAAATGTGGTTCTTTTAATAGTACCAACCTCGTAGCATCCTCACAGAGTGACTTGGGGTGATGAATGTTAAGTAATTTGCATAGTGTCTGGTACTGACTATCAATACTCTCTATTTGGTTTGATTTAAGAAGTTACAAATGATGAACCCAGGGTAAGAAGCCCTCCAACCTAGATACCCTCCCAAAGATCCCTTCCAACTTTATACTTTCGCAAGTTAATATTTAAATGTTCTTTGCTAATGTTCACATTATCTCATCCTTCCATTTAAAGTAATTGAAATTAGCATGCTGTATTTTTTTTTTCACAAATAAATCATGCTCTTCGTGTCCATCTGTGCTCTGAACGGATGATCCCTTTGCCTGTGTTGAGGAGGGACCTCAGACGATGCCACGTCCGCGCCAGCCCAGGGGTGGGGGCACAGGAGGCCAGAGGGGGTGCTGGCCGGGGCAAGGGTGCTGGGTGAGGTAGGGCCCGCAGCCATGGAACCCACAGAAATCACAAGCAGGATCCCATGGGCTCCGACCAGGAGCCTGGAACCCACAGAACTGCCTTTCCTGACTTATAGCCCGCTGAGCTTGCTGGCTCCTGCATGGACTTTGAAATATTAAATGTTTATAATGTAATATAACTCAGAAAAGCCTTGTCAGCTCTAAATTCTAAGCATGGAATAATTAAGATGTCTCAACACAGCAGCTTGTTGAAAATGGCTGGGTGTCTTCTTTGTCCATGGACTCTCTTTATTCAGAGGGGGCGTGAGTTTACTCACTTTATGTATTGGTGTCTGTCCCCAAATGTTGACAAAGGGCATGGACCCTTCCCACCTTCCCATGATGGCTGTAGCATCTTCCCTACAGCGTCCAGGAGGCAGCATAAAAATCTTACGGAAGGTAAGCTAACTTACCTTTTCTGGTGAGCCAAGTAGGGATTTATGAGCGGTAGAGGCCAGTGTACCAAGTTTTCTCTTAAGACTTCAGTTTTAACAGGGACAGGGAAAAAGCTTAGAGACTTTATGGAAGCTTTGTTTGGAATAATTAGGTTTCTCAGTGATAAACTTTACCTCTGGTTTGGGAGCATGAGGAAGCCATATAGAATACCTTATCATAGCAAATATACCACTAGTTTACATCCTATAAATATGTTACATTTATTCTACTGTCATAAATGTAATAGTAGCAATAGCGAGCAGTATCTACAGAGTGTTGGTTACAGAACATTTGCCCATAAGTTATTTCATCTGACCTCATGGCAGTTTCCAATACAGCTGTTAATCTACAAAAGCGGAAATGGTGCTCGGGGCAGTAGAGTAGCCTGTGAGAAATCACTTGGCTACTAAGCCAGGTCTTGATTTCTTATCCCAAAGCCCAGTTATTTACGCACAGAAATGGACAACCCCCAAAGACTAAATATTGGCCACATACCCCCTGTCTTCAACAAACAGATAACAGCACTGACTGACTAAATGTTCAAAGCCTTCTTTGTGACTCTCAACAGTCATAGAAAGTAGAGGTTCTTGAGTTTTTCTTTGAGCCACAGACCTGCTAGGCAGCCTACCAACAAAGCTGATGGATCCTCTCTTAAAATGATTTAAAATAAAAAAGTAAAGTACATAGTAAAGGATACCAGTTACGTTCAAATACAATTGTCAAAATATTTTAAACAAACAAATTTGGAATGTAGTAATATGTGCACTTTCTGATTAAAGAATTAAATGACAAGTGGTGGGTCTGTTAGCTGCTGTGATTTCTGAGTAGTGATGAACAGAAAGGATATTCCAAAAGAGCTACCTCTATGAGGCTGTAAGAAGACATCCTATTTCAATTGGAGACAAAGTCCTGGGTCCTACTAGCTGATACTTGTTGCTCTGTTCACTGTGGAAGGAAGAGCTGGAATCTCAGTGAGAGCTCAGGCACAAAGGACAATGCATTGGGTCATTTTTCCCTGTCCCTGAGTTCCATTAGGCCCTGTGGACCCAGGTCAAGCACTCCTGAAGAGAGGTCCTGTAGGAACTTCCCAGTCACCATGGCCAGAACGGTGCCCGCTGGATATTGTTCGAGATTAGTGAAAAGCAGGCATGCTGATGGAGTGGCGGTTTAGTTCCTTGGCCTTAATCAGAGCCTTTGGGAAGGACAGGTGAGGCAGGTCTCCTGAGAACTTTTATTCCTGTCTTAACAAAGGAGGTGCACAGACCTGTCTGAGGCAGCCAGGACAGCACTGATCCTGGAGCAATTAAACAATCATGGAAGCTTCTGGTTAGTCCCAGCGAGAGCCTTTTGCTTTCCAGGCTGCCTTCTTTGACCTGCTGGTATTGACTTCCTGATCTGCCTGTTCCCCGCACTTGCCTCTTTGCACATTTCACTTGACAACTGTGCAAAATGAATATGTGGTTAGGTCGGGTTGCAAGCGTGGGTGCTCCCCAGGCCAGGCCGCGAACATGTACAAAGGAGGGGAGGGCTGACAGTGGAAAATTGGAGGTCGCATGTCCACTGAAAGGGTGTGATGGGCAGTTAGCTCTGGCCAAATGTTGCCCTGCAGGAAGATGAGCTCAGTTTTGCCAAATATTGTGATTTTTCAGGATAAGTGGGAATTTGGGATTTATTTTTCTTTTAGGTGAAGGCTGTCGTTTACAGTGTTTACAAAGTAGCAAATTTACAGTGGCAGCAAAATCAATTTTTTAAAATAACTTGCAGGCCACACAGAAATTATGTTGGTCATCTGCCACTTCTGGTTTATATAAAAACAACAGCAGGCACAAATGTTATTTGGTATTTAGCGTTTTTTGCTAATTTTCAGTGTCATGCATATATAGGAAGCAGGCTTTTAGTTTGTATCCACTATTGGTTTTTAAGATCATGACAAAAGCTTGTTTTGACATGTTCTTTTTTAAAAGTTATACTGTGTAGCATTATTCACAATAGTGAAAAAAGGGAAACAGCCCAAACACCCATCAATAATTAATGGGTAAAAAAAATTGTGGTACACATACAGTGGAATACCATTCAGCCGTAAAAAGGAAGGAGATTCTGACACATGGAGGAACCTCAAAGACATTGTGCTAAGTGAAAGAAGCTTGTTGCAAAAAGGCAAACCTGTGATTCCAGTTATATGAGGTACTAGAGTAGTCAAACCTAAGGAAACAGAAAGTAGAATGGGGCTTCCAGAGGCTGGGGGCAGAGAGGCGGGATTTGTTGTTTAAAGGGGATAGTTTCAGTTTTACGAGATGCCACGTTCTGGAGCTCCATTGCACAACAACGTGAACGTGACACGACTGAACTGTATATGTAAAAGTGGTTAAGATGGTAAGTTTTGTGCTATGTTTATTTACCACAAGGAAACATTTTTAAAAGTTATATTGTTTAATAATGATAACACGAGTGAACAAAACTGCAGGAAAGAAGGAACACCAGGGAGAGTAATGTGTGGTTAGTATAAAAGAATTTTACCTTGTGAAACAACAGTGGGTTTTAAAACTTAAGTAGAAGTAAAATATTTGACATTACACAAAGGTAAGACAGGCAAATAGAGTTAAATAATTGTATTTTTAGGAAGTGTTAATAGTGCTAATTGAAGGTAAACTGTAATAAATTTATGATGTATATTGTAATCATGGAAAGGATAATATAAGAAATTATAAACAAAATGAATGGAGAGGAACTATGAAATAATAGGATTCCATTTATATGAAATTCAAAAATAGAGCTCTGACAGGGAAATTGGGGGGGAGGCTGTTGACCGGATGGGGCACGCGCAGACCTGCTGGGGTGCAGCAGGGTGTCTGTTTCTCAATAGGGGTGGCAGCTACACAGGTGTTTACAGAGGTGAAAATTAATTGGACTATACACTTAGGATTTCTACATTTTACTTTATGTAAGTTTACCTCAATAAATCAGAAATCAGTAACAATTTTTTAAAAATTTAAGCTAATAACTTAAGGCAAGATTCAGCAAATTATGGCCCACAGGCAACACCTAGCCCTCTGCATATTTTTTAATGACTCAGAACCTAAGAAGGGTTTCGCATTCTTAAGTGGTTTGGAAAAAATCTAAAAAAGAACATTTCATGATGTGAAAATTGTATGTAATTCATATTTATGTTTGTAAGTGAAGTTTTGTTGGAACAAAAACAACAAAAAAATTAATAGCTTACAATCTAATTTTTTGTTTCTCAGCTAATACCACTCGAATATTCCAAGGGACCAGAATTGTTAAAACGGGAGTGGTAAGTAAAGAAGAGTAATTGTTTTGTCCTGGCTGTTAATTTGCATGCAGTTAAAACTGTTACCACAAGGTGGCAGTATGATGTTGTTTAATTGCTTAATGTGAAGAGGTTCAAATACAGAAAAAAGACATTATTCACTTTATAATTCAATACATTATGAAAACTTGTTGTGCAACACAGTTAAAACAGTAGTGTTATGCAGTATAATTTTTGCCAGTTAAAAATTGTCCAGTTTTTATTTATTATCTGTAGGATATAGGAGTACGCAAGGTTTGCTCCAAGCACTTGGCTGAAATTCACATGCTAAAATTCAGAAATTGTCATTTGCCCAAAGATACATGGATTTGCAAATTTCTGGAGCCTTACTAAATATCTAAGTTTTCCTATCTCTAGTGCAACTAATAATCATAATATTACATTATTGGTAATAACAATAGTAGCCTAAAATTTACTAAATATTGCCTGGCTCTCAAAGACAGATTATTTTATTATATGATTTACCCTTAAAATACCCCACAAGATCAGTGTTACTTATTCCCATATTTTGGTTGAGGAAACTGAGGCTCAGTGAGTTACAGGAACATGCCCAGCATCACCCAGAGAGTAGACGCAGGATGCTGACGCAGCCGAGCTGTCTGACTCCATTGATTCCAGTACCTCGTCTTACGTGGCATTTGGCATTTCATTAACCAACCTCAGAGCTCAATATGTGCTAACTTGATTATCTTTAAAATATCAAGTTTTCAAACTAATACTTCATGATAAAGTTATGAAATCAAGGGTGTTCTGCATATATCGTTTTGAGCTGTGTAAGTGATCAGATGGATTTTTGGATTCTGAACACCAGGTTATGAGAATTAAAATTAAACACAGAACTCAGAGCAATGCTTATTGTTCTTTTGAGATACCACATGTGAGTACAGTCCCACAGTTGAGCCCGTTTAGTACAGTGGGAAGAATAAGCTGAAGTTTGGACACAGAAAGCCCTGCCTCTTCCGCTTGACATCTCTGTGCCTCAATTTCCTCATCTGTAAAACTGGATGATGATCATCCAGGGTAGCATGGGAAGCCCCAGCATATTGTTGGCCATTGTAAACGGAACGGTGATTGTTGTCATGTACATGGACAGAGAATTTGTCTTGGGTAAACGCAGAGACTGAAAAGTACAGCAGCTGTACTGTGCAGGAACTAGGGATGCAGGGCTGTAAACCAAGTCCCAGAGCTTGCAGGGCAGAGTGGCTCCTGCCCCGCCCCTGAGCCTGCCACCGCAGATGCGGAGGGACACTCTCCCTCTGCCCATCCACTTTCTCCCTGTGGGACAGTGGAACCAGATCCTGGAGGGCCTTTCTGAACCTAAGAGCTGGGTAGTGTCCACAGCACCAGTGACATCTAAGGCCTCCTGCCTCGTCCAGTGCCACCCAAGGTCAGTTGACCATCTGATGTCAGTTGACTACTCATTTGGTATGTGTCTTTCAGCCAAATTTAATGCTGCTTACTGGGTAGCCATTTAGCTCCTCCTGAGCAGTATCATCAAAGCTGAGCTTGCTATACTACTTACAAGTAATTATAAAACCATGACAATCAGAGATGGTCATCCATGATCACCTAATGTCAGCTTTGGCACCATGCTTTGGGAAACTCCATGAGTAAAATAAAAACTGCACAGAACCTTTGGAGGGTCATATCCAAGACCTCTTTCCCAGTCTAATGGCTGACACTTCACTGCTTTCTCTTCCTTCGTCTCTTCCCCCAACCACCTGTGTGGACCTTTCAAGCCCACAGCGTCTCCCGCCTCTTCAGCTGATATGGCCCCCATCAGCTCGGGGTCTTCAACCTGGACGTCCTCTGGCATCCCCTTCTCATTTGTTTCCATGGCGACTGGGATGGGCCCATCCTCCAGCGGCAGCCAAGCGACAGTGGCCTCGGTGGTCACCAGCACGCTCCTGGCCGGCCTCGGGTTCGGCGGCGGCGGCATCTCCTCCTTCCCCAGCACCGTGTGGCCCACGCGCCTCCCAACAGCGGCAGCAGCCAGCAAGCAGGCTGTCAGGCCGGTCCTGGCCACCACAGAGGCCGTGGCCTCTCCCGGCCCAGATGGCGATGCAGCGCCAAGCAAGGACAGTGAAGGCACCGAGGAAGGGGAAAAGGATGAGAAGAATGAGAGTGAGGATGGGGAGCGGGAGCATGAGGAGGAGGGGGAGAAGGACTCTGAGAAGAAGGAGAAGAGTGGGGTGACCCACACCACCCAGGGGCGGGGCCAGGCTGAGCCCACCCCCGTGCCTTCATCTCCCGGTAGAACTGCCCAGGACAAGGGGCATCAGACTATACCTGGGCCCCAGCAAGACCACACTGCCGTCCCCAGTGACCGGCCCAGTGACACAGGGGATGCGAACCGTGGCCTGGACTCTGATTTGATCAGCTCCACCCAAATGCCCCCCACAGTCACAGAGGGACATTTTGAGGGGAGTGATCGCAAGGTTCCTGAAATGCCATCTAAAAAGCCTGTGTCCCGAGGGGACCGGTTTTCTGAGGATAGCAAATTTATCACTGTTAATCCAGGTAAGTGGCTCCTTCTCATCTGAGGCTCCATGCTGCTGTGAATGTCTTGCCCTTTAAAAAGAAATTGGAGTAGGGTATGAAGATCCAAAAAATTCTTAATATTCCTGGACTTGTGTCTGTCCCTAGTATAGAAGGGGGGCGGGTGTGTGTGTGTGTGTGTGTGTGTGTGTGTGTGTTCCAGTAAGAGTAACCTACCTTCTTTCTGTTGCTGGATTAAGTCTTGCCTTGATATTTTTTCCTGGCAAAATCTTTCTTCAAAGTAACTCCAAGGATTTCTACCACTCATTGAAGTGAATGAATGCATAAGACATCAATAATTAAATGTATTCATTAAGATTTAATACCTTATGCACTTCTTCAACAGCTGTACGTACGGACTGCCTGCTTGGTGCCAGCACTGGGCTGGGTGCTAACCCAGCTGAGCGTTGCCCCTCCCTTGAAGCTCAGGGTAGAAAGGAGAAGGCAGACATGCTAGTGAGTTGCTAGAGCGCATGCCAGGAAGTCAGGAAGTGTGCATGTTAGAAAGCAAGCAAGAAAGTCAGTGGGCAAGCCAGAAAACTGGCTAGCCAGAGTTGGAGAACGTGAAATGGTAATAAAGGAAATAAACAGGGTGCTGTCAAAAAAAGTAGTGAGGTGGCCTAAGGAAGGCCACTCTGGGAAAGTGACATTTACATGGAAACCTAAAGGATGAGAGGCTCTAGCATAGAGAGAGCTGGTATTAGCCCACGATCCCAGCCTGGCTCTCCATCCCAGAGTCCGGCGTATGGACGGTGAGAGCAGGGCAAGGCTGGTCAGGCCTCTTCCATGAGGATGTGGTCGCCATCAGCCTGGCCGGCGGCACTTTGGCTCTGTCATACACTCAGATGTTAATGAACCATCCTAATAGTCTCTGCACGGAAACCTTGAGCGTCAGGGGTTGTTATTGTTGTCAGGGGTTTTCTTAATAAGAAATTCTTCCTTTTGCCAGCCTACAAGATGTTTAACAACAATTTTTTGCATCTAAGCTGTTGTGGAGTTATAAGAGTGCAAAAAAAAAAAGCAACTGGTAAATATTTATTTGCTTTTGCACTTGTAAACATTAAAATTCATCTAAAGCTGAGATCTCGTATGTTAAGATACAACTTAGAATAAATTTTCATGTTTTGAATTACTTGCCTCCTTGAAGCTGGTACAGACTCGTTTTTGGAATTGTGGGCTTCCCGTGGGTGTTGCTCAGTTTTTCCTGGTTTTAGGTAAAGGTGCAAAGCCACCTGCTGTGGAATTGGGTGAAGGAGATACCAGGCCACTTGGAAACTGAAGCCATTCCTGCATGAACAGAGATGTTCCCTCCAGCAATTGCTGTGAAGAGGTTGATTTTCTTAGGTTCGAAGATAGTAAAAAAAATACTTGAGGAGTACCCCATGTGTACCATGCACCAAACTAGGCATTGGGAATAGAACACAGATCAAAGTAGGCCTCTGTTCTTCTGGGGTTTTATGTGCTGGTGGGGGAGCTAATGGATATTCCAATAAACTAATGCATAACTGCAGAGCGGTAAGTGACAGTGAAGCCTCAAGTGGTTATGGAGTGACATTTGCGGAGACCCAGGTGGTGAGAAGGAGCTAGCTAGCCCTGCGGAGATCCAGGTAAGCACACGGCAGGCACAGCGCGTCTGGAGACCCCGTGGTGTGCGTTAACTTGGAGCGAGCGCGGGGCCATCAGAAGGCCAGCGTGTGTGGACCAGAGTCAGGAGGGTGGATGGGATGAGTTCAGGGACAGGCAGAGCTCAGGCTGGGAAGGGGCTTGTCGGCCAGGCTGAGGATTCGATTCCAGCTGATGGGAAACCAGTGGTGGATTTCAGCAGGAGACTCAGGCACCTGATGAACTTTTTTGAAAGACCACTCAGGCCTCTGTGTGGAAATGGTGCCGAGCAAGGAAGAGTGGGCACGGGAATCCCAGTGAGGGAGTGGCGGCAATGGCGGCCTGGGCCATTGTGGTTTCTCCGCAAGATAGACCTACAATCGATTGTCGAGCTTGGTGGTTCCCTCTGGACCGAGGGCTCTGGCAGGGCTGTCAGGCTGCTCCTCTGAAACACTGCTCTGCCCATGTCCCTGAAAAAGATGCCCGTGAAAACTTAGGTCAGGAGTGTTTGCACATTGAGAGCCTGGAGCAGAGCAGGGGCCTGCTCCGGGTAAGTGGAATGAGTCATGGCAGCAGGAGTCCGAGTCCAGATTCCAGAGACAGTGGAGAAGAAACAGATGGTGAACGCTGGGGACTCCCTCCTGCAGAGGTGGGGCATGTGGGTCTCCGGCTGCAACCATCAGCAGTCTTGGCAGATTAGCTTTCGGAGTCGGATCACTCCAGTGGGCTCTGCCCCTTACGCACTCAAGGTTCTGAGGCCAGTTTCTGCTCAGAGTCCTGTGGGAAGTGGGGATAACGGTAGCCATCAGCACAAAAGGGGGTGTGGATAAATTGAGCACCCTTGATGTCACTGGCAAGAAAGGAGGAGCAGTCCAAAGGCCACACAATCAACTTGGCGACAATGAAGAGGCCCCAGCAGGTCTTTCTTTTGCAGTCATCCCTGGATATTGAAGAGCATGACAGGACTATGGTCCCCAATGAACTGGCATTAAAAGTGACCTTCAAGAACTCTGCTCCATCCCCAACACTAAATCAGAAACTCTTCTTTACCATCTTTATTTCAGTGGGACGGGTCTCTTCCTCCCAAGGTGAAAAGGGATCTTCCTTTAGAGTTTTAGGCAATTCAGATTTGAGAGTGGGCACGGTGATTGAGCCAGAGATCAGAAGTCTGTTTCTGCGAAGGGCCAGACAGTGACATTTTCAGGTGTGTGGACCATAGGTCTGTGTTTTTCCTACTCAACTCTGCCGTGTGGCCCAGAAGCAACCAAAGGCAGTATGTAAGTGAGCAGATGCTATTGAGTTCCAATAAGACTGTTTCCAAAAACAGACAGTGGGCCAGATTTGATCTACAAACCATCATTTGCCCACCCCTAGTGTAAGCAGAAATGTCTGTGCCTATCCGTCAGTAAAGAATGTGAGTGACGTGAGGGTAAAACCCTGAAAGCCCCCAACAGTTCATAATCCCCAGGGACTCAGTTCACTTAGGTCCATTCCATCCTTTCCCTTATCTACCTCCTGCAGCTTGGTATTTATTTTTCAAAGGAGATCACTATCAATTTTTATCTTAGTTGCATCTTATCTGAAAGACTGTACATGTACTTTTGTCTAAATCTCTTCCACATTTTTTTCACATTAAGTAAAAACAACTATTTCAGTCAATGTTTACTATTTGTGAAAAAAGCATTAATGTTTAAAGTTACAGACTAGATTTTATCAGCATCTCCAAGAGGCTTGTTTAAATACACTTGATAACATTTTTTCAAGTCCTATGAGTAGTAGCTTTACCGTATTCATTCACAGGGAAGGAGAGGAGGGAGAATCCTTCTGTTGAAGAAATGGTAAACTCAGACACCTATAGAAATCAGACAGGTAATATCAGTGAGAGAAGAGGACCAGGTGCTCAACATCAGGGAGTGGTAAGGACTACGGCAAACTAGAAAGCACATGTCCTTCCTAAAGAGGCCACCTCACTCATTTCCACCTGAGTGTGGTTAGCACGAATGCCTAGTGAGCCAGAAATCCAGACCTTGGTGCAGAATTTCACAATTTTTAAGTGAGTTCAAATTTTTTAAATAATTTTTTTTTTTTCTCATGTGCCAGCAGGTAGGTGGGGACCACTGGTGCTTGGCCTGTACAACAGCGTTGACTGTTACAGCCACCCTGGCCCGGTCGCTGATCGAACAGATTCGAAGCCTCTGTGCAGTCACGGGGTGTCTGTGCAGGCATTTTGTTAGCACCTATTGTGTGAAGCCCTCGGTGGGATGTGTGTTGCAAGGAAATCCGACATGGTTCCTCCCTTAGGAGCCACAGCTGGAATGTGGTGGATATGCCCCTGGAATCCACTCGATGGGGGAAAGTGTTCTTGCACTAGGGTGCTATTCAGAATGCCCTAGAAAAAGCATTTCAGGGTGGGCGTAGTGTACGACCTCATCACCTCCTGCTAGGGTTCTCCTTTTCTGTTTCCATAAATTGAGGGAACCTTTTTCCCCTCACTGAACCCTGCTCAGAACTGCAGTGTAAACACTCATTTCCTGAAAGCCTCCTGGATCAGCCCTGAGACAAGTGCTAAAAGGAAGGGACCAGTGCAGGAGTCATGGAAGATTTTGTCCGGCCCAGGAGCTAAGATTGGACAGAGCTAGTCTGAGCCCTGGGGCTGCTGCTCTCCTCTCAGCTGAGTGCAGGGTGCTGAGCCCCAGCCACCTCTCCACTCCTCTGGGCAAACTGTCAGTTCCTCTCTGGGGGCTCTCAGGCTCTAAGGAACCCCGCTGGAGAACCTGATTACAGAAACAATAACACCAGTCAACATTTGTTTGGGCCGGGGTTGCCAGTTAAAAGCCCAATTGCAATGTCAGTTATACTTTAGCGCCCTCATGAGGGCTCTGCTGACATTGCTGCTGTTAGGCCAATAAAGGAACAGATCCTGAAGGTTATAAAGTGTGTGCCCTGGGCAACAACACAGCTGGGGCAACACAGGTGGGGCAACACAGGGCTCAAACACCAGCCCTGACTCCACAGTTCAGGGGAGTTCGCCCGACACCATGCTTCCCTTCCCCATGCTTTGAGGCTTATTCCCTGAGCCGGCAACACAGGATAATTTCGATGAAACACTAGTTAGTAAGTGAATATTTGAATATGTGCTTTAAAGAAAGATAGCAGTTTTTCATTGATGGCAGAGATTCTCAACCACACAGTTTTTCCCCTTTCCCCCCAGGACATGTGGCAACATCCTGAAGCATTCTGGGTTGTGGTGACTGGGGAAGGGACTGCTACACCCTACAATGCACAGGACAGTCCCCATAGCACACAATTGCCTGGTCCAAAATGTCACTAGTGCTGTGGTTGAAAAACTGATTCACAGTATTAACAGAAATTAACTTCTT